GTCAAGGGCTACTGCCTTGCTGCAGGCCCTTGATACCCTACACTGGATGGTAAATTCCAGCAGGTGACGATTACTGTCGCTCAGGTAGTCAAGAACCTGGAGTTCCTTCACCAGGTCATCGCCTGTAGCCAGGACCAGGTCCAGTAGAGCATTTCCCCTGGTGGGACTGTGCACCTCCTGGATTAAGTGGAGGTCCTGTATCTCGGCCAGGAACCTTTGTGAGCATTCCGACCTGGCTGACTGCTCCTCCCAGCAGATGTCCAGGTAATTTAGATCACCCATGACAACTACATCCCTTGCCTTAAGTGCCTCCACAAGCTGACCCAAGAATTTGCAGTCCAGCTCTTCCCTTCGGTTGGGAGGTCTGTAGTAGACCCCCACCGTTAAGTCCTTTTCCCCATGACCCCCTGTATTCTGATGCAGAGCAGATCAGCCTGCTCCTCTGACCCCATCCTGCTAGTTGAGGATGTGTATTGCTTATCCTCAACTAGCTTTAGACACAGCTTTAAATGTTTTTTTCTACGTACCTCAAGGTACCAGGCGCAGAATGCGAACGCTGAGATGGTGGGGTGGATGGAGCATCCCACAGGAGCACAGGGTGGGGGCTGCGTGCTCAGTGGCAGACCCAGACCGGACATACTTCCAATCCACTTCCGGGTCTGCTGCTGAGCACACGGGGAACACCCCCCCTCCCTGCACCCTCCTTGGCTCAACAGTTGGCCGCAGGGGACCCTGGGTGCCCCCCCAAACCCATGAGGCACCAGTTGCGGACCTGGAAGTGGACCGGAAGTGTTTCTGGTCCACTTCCAGGCCCGCCACTGAGCACACTGGGGACCCTTCCATGCTCCCGTGGGATGCTCCATCCGCCCCACCATCTCAGCATTCATGAGCCTCCTGGTACCTTGAGGTATGCAGAAAAAAACATTTAAAGCTGTCTCTATGTCTGAATCATTGAATCTCTCCAAGTCGATTCAGAGGGTTCTGATTCAATTCAAAGAGATTAAAGGGTCTCCTGATTCAATTCAGAGATTTAGCTGCTGAATCAGTCCAAATCTCTGCCAAATCGAATCAGCAACCAAAGCTTGATACCCCCTTAATAAACACCTAATACAGAATACAGTCATTTTTACTGTCAGCATTATTTCATGTTTATGATTTTAAAAAAGATTCTAGCTTCTCCCCATAAAATACATTTATAATCTTAATATTGAATCTAGATTTGAACTGGGAATTTATTAAACTCATTTAAACATGTTTCTGACAATATTAATTGAGATGCAAACATTGCTAAATGTCCTGGTTCCTCTTCATTGCAAACTGTTGTGCAGGTTTCACTGACTACCCCACAGCACCTTGTTTATAGAGCTGTTGGGTTCTCAAACTATGGAAATATTGATCAAGTTTGACCCATAGTAGAGAAGCATCTTTAATTCTTCAAACATTTTTTTTTCTTTTCAGCTATATCATTCAGCAGGATTCTTTTCAGGTTTCCAGAGATTTTTTTGGACCAACTGAACCTAAATTTTGTTTTAGATTTATCTGCACCTGAAGTGGCTGCTTCATGTCAATCTTCATTGGGTGGTTCTTCAAGTTTCTATGTAATGCAGAATTGGAGAATTTGCTAATACAGGTTGAGACAGACCAACAATTGCTAGGTGACCCATATAAGACCTATGTGTTAGATCATTTGCTGCAGTGGGAGCTGTGTAGAAGATGATGTATAGTTTAGCTCACAGGATGAGAGTGAAAATTGATGTTGTTGAGGATTTGGTAACATCCTTAATTAAGGAAGAACCTCTTTGATAAGAAAAAGACAATGGCTCTTAGAGGTAGAAAAAACCTCTAACATCCAGGTCTGTGCAAGAACTGAGAACACTTCAAAATGCACAGGGGTTTTTTTCAACAGTGCCCTTTTTTCTGTTAGGTATGATGATACGCTAGTTGTCCCCATCATTGAAAACACACCAGAAGAGAAAGATCTCAAAGAACGAATGGCACGTGCAATGGAGAAATACCCAGACTCCTGTGCTATATTGGTCAGGCGTCATGGAGTTTATGTATGGGGAGAAACTTGGGAAAAAGCCAAAACAATGTGAGTATTCTTTTCTGTTGCCATTTTAGACCTAAAATATCAATTGATATTTCTTTCCCATGAATCAGAGCCTCTGCAACTCAAAGTGAAAGCCTACCCCCATAGAAGTATTACTAATGGAGACACAATTTCCCCCTTGGACTCTTCCTCTTTCACAACTGTCTCCGCTGACGAGGTTCCCGTCACGTGGAAAGACCCCTTTTAGCACGTACGCGCACACACACCGACCACCTTCACTTTTGTAGAAGGTCTCCAGATTGCTTTCATGGTCTCTTTGTAATGCCTCTGTTTACAGAGCCACACGTACCCAACAGTGAGTGTTTTAAATAATAAATTTCCCCTTCAGTGAGAATCCACCTCTCCATCTCTCACTGGAAAGCCACGCTGCACAAATGTGAGGTGCCACGCAGGCTGTGTTGCACCCCTCTTTCCCTGCCCTCCCCAACCATAAAAACTTCAATGTTGTGAGGGGCTAAATATTAATAATGAAACACAGGCAATCATAGGAGTGTACTACATGACCACCATGCTCTTAGTGTTCAGCTTATAAAAGAAAATCTTTTTTTTTTTTTAATTTGCAGCTTCTTAAGACTCAGTCCTAATTTGTCATTTCTCTGTTCTTTTTTTTTTATATAAGGTGTGAATGCTATGATTACTTGTTCGATATTGCAGTGCAGATGAAGCAGCATGGACTAGACCCAGCAAAACTTCCAACAGAAGAAAATGGGATCATATAAACCACCACAACACAATACTATAACAAACCATATATATATATATATATATGCAGAGAACAATGCAAAAAAAAGAACTGAATACAGAATCGTGAAACATACTGTGCACATGAGATCCATGCCACCCCACCTCATCTAATACAGTTGTGTTATGTATTTTAAAGCTGAAGTATAATAAGTGTTACCAAAAACAGCAAGTGGAGGAAACCCCAGTCATGCAAACTGAGTCAGTAAGCTTTGTGCCTATTTCAGGATGAGGGCCCTGGTTTCTCTCCCTCTCTTTTTTTTAGGGCTTTATAAGTTAAATGAGTGGAAATTAATGCCTTTTGATTATTGGTTTTGAATGTGTAGATGATGATGATTTTTGCAGTGTGGCAAGTTTGTGAGGAATATTTCTTCCAGTGTGCTGCAAATAAGTATTGATAAATATTTTAATACCATTTTTATGAATTATTTTTAAATTTTGTTTCATTTACTAAACTGGATGCTGGTTTGATTGAGCAACTTATTTTTTGAAAAGTAATAAAAAGGTAGTAAAAATGACGAGAAAATCTTTGGGAATCAGTCTCTTATCTTTAAGAAAGTACAAACTGGCAAAAGGAGCTAGGTATCTCATTTGGTGAAGTATTAACATGCCTCTTTTTTCCTGATTTGCTTCTAGATTTTTTTTAAGTGTTTGTTGGATCTCAATTTCTGAAAGGTTAATAGCTCATGGTGATTCTGTTAATAATTGTCTGTGATCATTCAAGTTGAAAATGGTAAGCACTGACAGGTTCTCCATCATTGGATTAAATTAAGTTTTATACTTAAAAAATAAGCACAGAATTCAAAAACCATGTACAACTCCTAATGTACATTACTTTTATGGTGTGATTAACATGTAAATCATACCGTAAATAGTAATAATGCCGCATGGTCAGCCATTTATGTTCCCAGTACTGATGCCAAAACCTGCCTGTTAAGCAAGCAGTTTGCAAGGTTCCCTGGGGACAGGGGAGTCACTTGGCTTCCCACAACCTGACATTTTAAAAAGCCTTGTCCTGCAGCTTCTGCAGGAACAACTAGCCCAGTTGCAGGGAGACTCTCAGCTACCCCCTCCAGGAACCTTGCTAACATAATTGGTTCCCATTCAAATAAAGGCATGATTGGGATCAGTCCCTGATCCCAATAATCACACATCCTGCTATGCAGTTATGTGAACCTCTGCCAATACTAGCATTAGTTGGCCTGGTAATTCAGTTGGATGTAATATTTTTTAACAGGACATGTAACATGTTTTTAAAACTCTGTCTTAACTATTATTTTCCTCAGAAATGTGAGAAAGTTCACATCATTCTGTATTTTGTTTTCTCAATGAATTACAGTAACATGATGGTCTGTATTCCATCTCATTTTTACTTAAAGAGAGTTCATTTCACAGTAAAATCTTGTTTAAACCCATAGCTGGATAACTGTTTATGACCCATTTGGATCCATGACTAAAAAGGTTCAATGAAATCTCACGATTCTTTATCTCACGATTCTTTATGTAAAACAGTGCCACCAAAGTCAGAAATAATCTTGTTTATTGAAGAACAGCATCACGTAATAATGCATTCATGTATCTTCTTTTAATATATAAGAGAATGGTCAGTGCTGAAAACATTATTAGTTTTGTTGAGCTAATGGTCTGTTTAAGTATAGCACATGTATTTCTGTGAACACGATAAAACAAAATATTATTTTATTTTATGAAACAAAATATTGAATCTCCTGTATTATTATATTTATTATGTGTGCCATATTGTTGATAGAAGCAGACCTAATTCGGTAGTTCTGTCAGATCAACTTAGACATAAATTGATGGTGTTTTGCATCTTTGGTTGATGGGACATTATCATGAATTGGTCACTTGTACTGGATTTGCAAACCATGGAGCATGAAATTTAAGCAAATTTATGCAAGGAATGGCTCATTGTAGGCAGCTTACCCAATATTCATTTAAGGGGATAAAATTCTGTTCTGTCCTTCAAAGCAACCAAGTCCTCAGCAAGAAGTAATTAATAGTTCTTCCTCTCATATTTTTGTATCTTCTTGGAGCCCAGCTTTCCTGAAAGAGTTTAAAGTAGCTATATCACTTCTGTTACAACAAAATTCAGTAAATAAAGGCTTCCTTTTTATCTTTTATTTCTTAAATTATGCAACTGACCAAATTTGGCTGATGTTTCCTTACATTATATAGGGGGGAAAAAAGAGAAGTCACTAGTAACTGGATCCTGTTGAGATGCATTGTCCATAAACTCATTGTCACTGTGGTTGTGCACATGCCCTGTGTTTTCCGATATGAGATTATTTGCCTTAGCAATATCCATAGAGTCTTCCATAGCTCCTGTGCCAAGGAGCTTATCGTCAGTTCACAATTCCTGCTCTTCAATTTCCTCTTACCTGTAGAAGTGTTAGACTCTAAGGAAGAGAAAAAGGAGGGCAGAATGTGTTCATCCATATGGACAATGCGTCTCAACAAACACTAGTGATTTACCAAACCTAGGATGTGCTTGGTGCTTAAGATTGATAGCATAATGCTTGGGAACAACATATATCAAATTCCAGGTGACTGTTTTACAAAAGATCAATTTTGCAGATATGACATAGGCAGGCTGTGGAAGTACTCTGAGTAGATAAGACTTTGCCTTTAGATGCAAGAGGCTATACACATCCAGCAACTGCACTGTCAGGCACTAGGCCTACAGCTGAAAGCATACTGTCAGGTGGACTTGGTAGCTGGCAAGTGCTTTCTGTCTGTGAAACTTCTTGTTTCTTGATCAATTTAGAAGAATAGTACCTTCCCCTTTACTTGCCTTCTGTGGTACAGAATTTGCTAGTTCTGTCATTTCAACTGAAATCCTTGTCTTCAGTTCTGAGCTCATACTCAGTTCTAATGGTCTCAATTTAAATGATTTATTTTTTAAACAAGAACCTCCTGATCAGAGAATAGTTGAAAGAAGAAAACAATGCAAGGTTCTGATCAAACTTATTCTGTTAGGCATACATCCCTGTTCTGCAGTACATCTTGAGTGCTCTAGTACCTAACTCAGACTTGCCCTTCAGTGGTTTCCTCCCTTTATTCACGCTGCTTCACCCATTTTAAGCACCAGTTGAAGTCATATTTAACACTATACGTAATCAATCTGGTGGGTTTAGATGGAATTTGTCCTGTGTGAGTATGCAGATCTGTGACATTGTTACTGTGTCACAGACCTATACACTGTGGCTTTCCTCCTTTCAGTGTGTTCTACCAAGAGTAGATCCTTTGGGTTGATTTTTTTTCTCACATCACTATTCAAAGCCAAATGTGTTGTCTCTGACCTACCAGCAGAGCTAATGTCCTCTGCATTCTGTTGGCTACTTTTTACCCCATTCTAGCTACGTTTCTCAGTATCAGAAATTTCTTCTTTGTTGAAAAAGATTTGCACCTGCTTCCATAAGGCAGATGATTATAAGTTGAACCAAAGACTGTATGCAAGTATGTACTTTTATATCCCTTCAAATGTGTGTGTGTGTGACTGGGCACTCATATGCTCTAACCATGCATATTATAGGGCTAATTAATATATGTAAAGTTTCAAGGTCTTTGAATCAAAGACATGAAAGGTATTCAGCAGTTTGTGTTTTCCTTAGTGCTCTTTTCCCCAAGGCATGTTATAACAAGAAGATTAGTTTTTTGATGTGTCAGTCCAGAGGGAGAGTCTATCCTTGTCTGATTGCCACCTACTGAGGGTGACCCTAGGTGCCTCCTCTAAACCACCATATCTCTACAAAAGTGAATTCCTGTGATTATTCAATTAGTACAATCACAGTAAAACAATTATGTCATTACACAGTATTGATGTTTAAGTACAAAAAGGTTTCCCTGTTTTTTTTAATGCTACAGTTGCCCTGCACTGATAGACTGGAATAGAAGGTATGAGGAAAAGCAGTTTCTTGACATATTTGGTCCTTCTAGGTTATCTTAATTACAAATAATACCTAAACTGATTTGACCCTTGTTTGCCAAAAGTGTAGAGATTACTTTTATAATATCTTACCAGTAAAAAATGTCTGCAGAGGTATTTGTTAATCTCTTCATAATTCAAGCCTTTCTTTCCAAACACATTTTGTTACTTTACATGTTCTCATTGTGCTCTAAAATATAGCTGAGAGATTTTCTTCAGTAACCTGTAAAAGGTGACAGTCCCAATAGAACAGTGGTTATCAACTTTTTCTCCACTGGTCTCTCACTTAGTCAGAATCCTACTTGCATTTAGTAATGTGGGATTGCTCAGATATGTTTCTCTGATACCTGTTGAGAATCTGTGCAATTAAAAAAAAACTTCATAAACTTTGTGTATTCACTACTGGTTCGTAAGCCCCTCAAGAAGTACAGGCTTTCCCTTCAGTAATTACTATGAGTAAAATGTTCAAAATCACATAAGTGATTTAGATCATGGGCAGATGTTATAGTTGTGTTATATATGCCCTTGTAGTAGTGCTACAGAAAAACTGGTATACAGGTGCGCACCTCATGTGACAGGACAAAAATGGCACATGCGGAAGTGCTACAGAAGTGTTCTTGTTTGAAACAGAAAGTTTTCTATAGTGCTGTGTTTTGTAGTTCCATATGTAACATCCGAACTACTGTAGCAGTAAGAGGCAGGTCTCTTGCTCTCCCAGTATCCCACAGTGCTTTTGCTCTCCCCCACCTTCTAAAGCAGGAGTGACCAATTATTATGGCTGCAGGGCCACTTACTAAGTTTTGGTGAGCTGTTGAGGGCTGCACACATAAAATTTTTCAGATTTTATTTTAACAAATTACAGATAAAATATATACTAATGTCAAACATCTACTATGACATATTTTAATTTTAGTTTAAAAATAATTTTTGTACTGATTTATGTTTTTGAGTACTGTATATAGAGGTGGTTGCATAATAACTCAAAATAAAGTCTTACTCTTGTATATTGTGTGGTGGGGGTTGGAGTGGAGGTGGGGGGCAGGATCTGTGGGTATGTGTGGGGAGATGGGTGTGCACACGTGGGAGGAGGGAGACTGCCCATGTATTAGGTCCCAGGAGCCAGCTGGGGATGAGAGGAAGAAGGGCAGGGGGCACATGCAGCAGAGCAATGCAGGTGTGGTGTGCCCCACCCCACCACCTGTCATCCAGCATGTGGTTGCCCTGCAGTGCTCCACATATGGGACCAAGCCCTGCCCATTCCTGCCTGAAGCAGTCCATGCCACACTTCCCAGTGGGGCCGCTACTGGTGCAGCTGCAGCCTCCCAGGTACTGGTCAGCTGCCCCCACCTCCAGTGGCTTCTCCTCCTCCTGACCCTACTGGACTGCTCTGAGTGGCAAGGAACCTGCATCTGGGTAGTTCTTGCCCCAGTACACGAGGTTTCAACTCCCAGCCACCTTCCATCCACTCCGCTCACCCAGCACAATGAGCAGCCACTTACAGGTGGGCAAGTGGGTGGAAGGAGACCTGGAGCTGGAGCCCCCCAGACTGGGTCAAGAGCCACCCAGCTGCAGCTTCTTCCCCACCTGGCTGGGCATCTGCTGTCCAGTGTACATCCCCACAGCTTCCCTGCACTTCCTGCTGTCCAAGTGGGCAGGAGCATGGTACAGGCTGCCCCGGGCAAGAGCAGGTAGGGCTCAGCCCTGTGTGGAGTGCCACAGGCCAGATATAATCAATTGGTGGGCACCTGCCCACAGGCCAGATCTGATCAGTTGGCAGAGCAGATCCAGTCCACGGGCTTTATTTTGCCCACCCCTATTCTAAAGGGGTGGGGTGCAGGAAGAGAGAGAAAGCAGCTTGCTTTTTGACAGCCTGCTGAGTAGCAGAGCTGAAACCCAGCCAGAACTATGGGCTGAAGCAGTGGCAGGGGCAGGGATCACTGCTTACTTCGGCAACAGCAGTGGTAGTGAGCTGTCAGAGTGTGTTGCTGCCTTGGTGGGGGGGGGCACAGAGGAGGATATTTGCTGCTTCGGGTTGGGGGGAGGATGTTTGTCCACAGTGAGGAACGGGAGGCTGTCAATGATTGGGCTCACTGACCAACTTGGGGATAGAGGAGCAAAGGAATAGTCTCATATTTCCCCTTGGCTAGAGAGTATGCCTTCATGGCATCATCATAGTGCTACAACCAGGGTGATTGTGAATGCCCCTCATAGGGCTATGTTTTTGTAGCACTACAAATGCACATCTCTCCATGACCTTAGACTCGTAGGTTACACTTTCAAAAATTACATTAGGTATTTGGAGTATGTTTGCATTGTTCGGCACCACCAGGGGGTAGATAGGAACCCTTCCAAACACATCCCTTCCATACAGTCCCGCTCACATAAACCAAACCCAGAAATTCAGCAAAGCCTCTCCAGAGGGCATCCCTGTGTGGTCTCTCATGAATAGGAACCTATCAAAATCATGATTCCACAGATTTCACAAAATCTGTCATTGCCCATGAAATCGGGCAATATTTGCAAAATCTGGGGGCAGAGGGTGGAAACTTACTGAAAAGAAAATGCTGGCTCCCCAGAGGGAGCCAGCAGTCCTCAGGGCACTGCAGCAGCCTACCAGGGCAGGGGAGTGGGGTCTGCCCAATCAAGCTGTCAGGAAGATAGCTGCTGCCCCTGCCCCACACTGCTAATTGGCTGCAAGGGCTGCCATGTGGCCCCACACCTCAACCAATCAGCAGTGAGGGGCAGGGCTATATAACAGGCAGCTCTTACAGACACTCAGTGGTGAGGGACAGGGCCACCAGCGCCCTTCAGCCAATCGGGGGGG